GGCCTTACACTAAGCATATTGATAGGCCATTCCACCCTTTTTCTTTAGGCTTCTTGAAGGTCCCTTTGAAGAGGCTGCCAACAAAATTGGTCGGCCTTAGTTTCTCTATTTTTCTTTTCTGGGTGCAGTTATTCATTCTGCCCGTCTCCCCGGGCATTCAGTTTGGTGGGATACTGTCATAGCAAGAATTGCTTTGCCCCAGTGATGAACAAATAGGGTCTCCTATCAGATCTGTTTTTGGGGGTGGGAGTTGGGTTCCAGGGATTGGACTCAGGGGCACTCAACCACCAAGCCCCATCCCCAGCCCTATTCTACATTTCATTCAGAGACAGGGTCTCAACTGAGTTTCTTATCACCTCACTGTTGCTGAGGCTGGCTTTGAACTCAGATCCTCCTGCCTCAGCCTCCTGAGCCACTGGATTAGAGGCGAGCCCCACCACACCCAGCTTCTGTCCCCAGGTCCTAAGCTAACAGAGCTGGAACCTCCTGCCACATCCCTTGTGGCCAGTAGCCCCCACCCCCAGGGCTGGGAGGCGGGGCAGGGCAGGTTCTGTCCCCCTCTCCACAGCCCTGGCTGCTGTTTTCTGTTCTGTTTTTGTTTTTTCCCAGTTTAGGGCTGGTGACCTTGACCGCACTGAGATGACCTCTGGCTGGCTGCTGGGGCCAGGCTGAGCGGCGGTGCTGGGGGTGCAGCACTGGGTTTGAAAGACTGAGATCCCTTTAACCCATTCTTCTGGTGTCCTGCTGTCCTTGCACACAGAGCAGTGCCTTGTGGCACTTGGGCTCCCTTCCTGCGGCTCCACCCCTCCTGCACCCCATCAAGGCTGTGCAGAGTCTCTCTCCTACTTTACTCAGAAAGACCAACCTCAGTAATCCAGAAAGACCCTTGACGGGCCGATTGTGTTACAGGGACCCTTTTTCTCTTAGAGAGGCTCATCCCTAAAGGTGGCCCATGCAGCCAGGGTCTCTGTGCTCAAGAGACTACCAGAAAGATGGAGGCAGCGGCCGTGTACTAAAGGGCCAGTAACAGGACAGAGAGGACCACTGAGACCAGGGCTGGCAGGCGGGAGCCTGCAGACGGGCAGGCGAGAGCCTGCGGACAGGCAGACCTGCCCCTGTGGACAGCAGACCTGCGCCTGCGGACAGCAGACCCACGCACACACTTCTTCCACTCACTTTACCTCTGAGAGACCAACCCCAATGCAAGAGGGTACGATGATGCAGAATGCTAACCAACAGCCGGACGTTATAGTAAAACCTTAGGCTTCTACTGGAGCTGACCCTTTCTTCAGCTCACTTGACGATGGAACAGAAAGAGACAGAGACAGACAACCAGAGAGGAGCCCCCAAACCACGGCTGATGGACGGGCACCTTCATATCGACCTGCCAAGGTCTTCCCCAAGAGGCTCCCTACAGGATCGATGCAGTTCTGGCCATGTCTAAAAGGGCAGTAACAGAGGCAAACAGACCAGCAACCGGAGGGAATTCCCAAGACAAGGCCAACAAACCGATGAGAACCTAGAACAGATCAGAAGGGAGCACATATCCCTAGGTTCTAGAGTCCTGCTTAACCAGGACTCCTACACCGATGGCCCCACAGATGTCCCCAGAAAGAGGGACTAGATGTGAATCAAGGGTCTCACTGTGTGCACCCGGGGACCTGCTAGATGCCAAGGCTGTCTCGACTTTCCTGAGTTCAGTTTCCTCTTTCTCAAACTGGACCATGATGGAGCCACCTGTACTACTCAGGGGGAGAAGGCAGGAGTCCCCAAAGCAAAAGGAGCTTTAGGACTGCTAGGACGTCCCTTAATCCCTCCCTTTACTCATGGGAACAGCTCCTCTGGCTCAACCCCAGGCAACTCTCCTGTCTCCTAACTCGCCTGCAACTGGCCGTCAACCGTGTGCCCGCCACCTGGCATCCTGGGCATGGGAGTGGCTTCCTGGAGAGCCAGACCTGCTCCGGAAAGCTGGAGAGGGGCCACTGGGGTACTACATTTGTTACCAAAAGCTAGTCCTTGTCCCTGATGCCAATCCGATAACAAGGACACAAGTTTGAGAAAAAGGAAAAAGAAGTTTTATTGCTTTTCTAGCAAAGGAGAAACACAGGGGATCCTGTCCCAGAGGCTGTGATTCTGCCCCCCAGCAGGAGCAGGGGCTGTTAAAGAGGTGACTTAGGCTACCTTCCAGGCGCTCTTCATCCAGGGCTGTAACTCACCTGTTAATTTGGGATTGTCCTTTCTGAGGTCTTCTGGTGCCCTCCCCATGGAGGGCGTGTGCTCAGATAACTCTGCCTAGGGTGGGGAACAAAGGTGACCCTCTTTCCCCGGAGATTTGGGAGGAGGAGGAGAGGAAGAGAAAGAAACCTGTGCATTTAAAAACCAGTTGCAGTGGCTGAGCAGCAAGGGCCAAGTCAGAGCGTGAAGTAGACCCTGTTAGAGGGCCTGGGGCCTTGTCCTTGGCCTCACCCCAGGCGAGGCGGATTGCTGAGTCCCCCAATGCCAAGGGAAAGCAGCGGGACGTCCCTCGGATTTTCTGGGTATAGTACTCCCACAACTTGTCCCCTGAGGGCCCCTTCTGGAAGCCACATGGCCTGAGGGCTCATGGTCCCACTTGACAATTCCCACATTAAGAGGGCTTTGCTGTGGTCCCCTCATTTGGCCCAAACTGGGCCCCTCTGGACTGGCTGGTGTGTGCCAGCAGGGCTGCAGCAGGGTGTCCACAGGGGCTGGAACTGGATGGCCCTCCTCCCCAGGATGCTTCTGCATCTGGCCACATGGAGGTGACACCCAAGCAGGTGGGAGCCGGGCGTCCCACCTGCTCCTCAGAGCCAACTTCTGTGGCTTTGGGTTCTGTGGGGACTCTGCCCACATGATGGTGCCTCGGCAGGGCCCTGGTCTACAGGGCCATGTGGCTAGTCCCACAGCCGGGGTCCCCAGGCCAGCTGTTGGCCTCTGTGGGGGACACCAGTGTAGAACAGGGATCTTGGGCCAGGAGAGAGAATCACCTGCCTGTAGGCACAGATGGCCCCTGAAGGGACGATGCTGTACGGAGTGGGGTCTTTCTGCAATGTTGGGAAGAACGTGGCACAGTGCAGGTGGCCCGGGTGGAAGGGAGAGCCCAGCCTCTGAACCCAGGCTCAGCTTTCCTGAGAGACTCAGCCGCAGCCTGTGCGGGGCTGGGGGAAGGGCTGCCCGGCTTCCTCTGCCCTGGAGACGGCCGGGCAAGGGGGGAGCCTCCAATTACAGTGAGTGAGGAGGCCTCCCCCGTTCTGACTTGAGGGCAAAATGGCCTGGGGAGCAGGGGAGGAGCCAGGCTGGGTTCTGGGGGAGACATCTGAGCCTCAGCCCCTGCCACATGCTCCTTAAAGGGCGTTTTACACCCATAATACAATTGGGGGGTACCAGGGGTTGAACTCAGTTGCACTGGGCCGCTGAGCCCCACCCCCAGTCCTATTTTGTATTTTATTTAGAAACAGAGTCTCGCTGAGCTGCTTAGCGCCTGGCCATTGCTGAGGCGGTTGACCTTGCCCCCCTCCTGCTCACCTCCTGGGCCGCTGCTTATAGGCAGGCGCCACGGCTGACTTTTTTGTTTTTTTAAACAGCTTTAGATTGAGAGGAAAATTGAGCAGAACAGGTTCCCACTTACCTCCCCTCACCCGGTTTCCCAGTTATCAACATGGTGCGTCTGTTACAAAAGGGTCCCCCACCCTGCCTCTGTCCCAGGAGAAGGGGCTCAGAGCTTCAGTGTGGTCACTTGAGCAGTCATGAGCTGGCCTTGGCTGTGGCCTGGGGACAGTCGAGGAGGAGGCCGCGGAGAGGCGTGTCCAGGCTGGTCCTTCTGGGGATGCCGAGGCGGGAGGTGGCCAGCAGCGGCAGGGCTTCACCGGGGCGCCGGGTCCTCCCCGTTTTCTTGTTTGGGTTCATTTACTTGAAGATGCTTGTTGTGGTTGGCTGAAGTTTCCCCAGGGGCAAGGCAGAGCACCAGCAGGGGCTTGTGGGGTCCCCTGGGCCGCTCAGGTGCCCCCGGGTGCCCACCTGGCCCCAGGAACCCAGAGTCACCTCTGCAGGAGGGGCAGGGGCCCTGGGGAGCTGACCCTTCTGTAAATGGCGGGTGGGGCGCACATCACACCTCCGTCTTCCCCGGACCCCCACTGCCCTGCGTCCTCCCGTGGCCTGTCATCTCCAGTGGGCGGTGACGCCCCGTACCTGTCCCGCAGGTCGCTGTCACAGGGTGTTCTTCAGTGCTGACCGGAAGTGCCCACACGCCCGGCTTTGCCTGATTTGCCCCTTTCTCTGGTGCTGGAGGTGGAGCCAGCCTGGAGTGTGCCGGGCACAGGCTCTGTCCCCAGCCACTCCCCGTCCCCGTCCTCTGAGCGCTCTTACTCTGCAGTTGGTTTCCCGAGGGCTGGCTGGTTATTGTCTGATCATTTCTACGTGTCCCCTCCTTCACCATGTGATGAGTCCTCCCTCCCATGGCTCTGCTGGCCTCTTCTGCCCTCTGGATTGCCTTTGTGGGGGGACCTTGTGGTGGAATCAGCTGTGTCTGTCTTCTCTTCATCTGGCTTCTTTTTACTCCGCATGATATCTTCAGGGTCCACTATGTCGTAGCAGGGGTCAGAATTCCTTCCTCTTTGTGGCTGAATACTACTCCATTGCTGGATGGGCCCCATTGTGTTTTATCCGTTCATCTGTTGGTGGACTCTTGCAGCTTCCTCCCACCTGGGAGCTCCTGTAAACAACATTGCTGTGCACACGGGTGTGCAAACACCTATTCCCATTTTCTGGATTGGTGCCTGGGAATCGAATTGCTGGTCCTATGGTAGTTCTGTCTAACTTTCTGAGGAGCCAGAGTGTCATCTGTGGCAGCTGGAGCCTTGCTTTACGCTCTTCTTGGTGCACTGATGTGAGTGGACTCCAAGGCCCTGAGGCGCCCGATTTGCCGGAATGCCCCGGCACTGGAGCCTGAACTGACGTCTCTCCCTTCCCTTGCAGATCCCAGCATGCCTTCGGAGACACCCCAGGTGAAAGAGGGGTCTGCAGGGTGCCCCCACCACCTGGGGAATGGGAGCCCAGAGAGGGGGCCTCCAGGGGACAAGGAGGCCAAGGAACATCTGTGGACCCGGCCTGACATCCCCAGCAGGTGCACCTGGCAGCTGGGCAGGCCCACCACGGACTCCCCGCACCACCACGCCTCTCACCTGGAGGCTCTGTGAGTGTCTGACAACCAGATGGGTGCTCCCTTACCCTGGCGGGAGCCGCTTCTTACCTGGAAGCTACATCCAGGAGGACCTGGGGTGGGGGTGCCCTTCGTGATCACGGTGGGTGACAAAGGGCTGGGCTGGGGGGGAGCACTGAGTTTGGGCAGGCCGCCGCCCAGCTGAGCTGGACAAATGTGTCAGCACACCTAGGTCAGCCTGCCCAGGTCGGTGCTGGGAGTAGCTGGGAGAGGTGTCCCCGCCAGGTGTCTGGGCCTCTTGCCACGCTCCTGTCGTGGGCCCCTTTTATGGAGTTCCAGGGTCGGTGGAGGCCTTTTTTTTTGGTACTGTTGATTGAACCAGGGGCACTCGGCCGCTGAGCCACACCCCAGCCCTATTTCGTGTTTTGTTTAGAGACAGGGTCTCCCTGAGTTGCTTAGTGCCTTGCTAAGTTGCTGAGGCTGGCTTTGACCTCGCTGGGAGGACGGCCTCGCCTGCGCCCGGCCTGGTGGGGGCTCTGCAGCCCTGCGCTGGTGCGGTGTTCTCAGTGCTCTGCGGTAGGACAGCCTAGACCAGCGATCCCTGTCCCGGCAAGGACACGCCAAGCTTGCTGTTTGAGGCTGCAGGTGACCTTAGTGCACAGTCCTCCCGATGGAGAGCGGGCTTCCAAAGTGCCTGTCCTCCCCCGCTGCGTGCCGCACCAGTGGTCACAGATTGAACAGTCAGCAGGAGTGTGCGGGGTCTCAGCGGCCACAGGAAGAGCGAAATTCACTCACCTGCAGGTTCTGTAGGAGCCTCGTGCTGGGAGCCCAGGATGCCACCAGCTGGCCAGAGGGATGAGTCCTTGCTGCCCAGACAGCCCAGAGCAGCGGGGCCAGGCTGGGGAGGCTGGGTGTGGCTGCAGGGCCTGGGGGAGGGGGAGAGCAGGTCCCTGGCTGCTGCTTGAGCACACTGGCCTCAGGGAAGTCTTGTCCCGAAATAGCCCTGTCCCCAGTCCCCACAGTCAGGAGGGAGTTGTGGTAGAGGCCCCCACTGGACCCCGGTCCGCTAGAGGGAGACACAGTCCCTGGGGTAATGGCAGGGAGACCCATGGGGCCAGAGACAGAGCAGGCAGGTGGGGTCAGGTCCCTGGGGCCAGTTGCAGAGGTTTCCAAGATGGTGTGGGCTTACGAAGAGGGCCTGTGGGAGCCTCAGGGGAGGGCAGACAGGTGGCCCTGTGACAGGTTGGGGTCTGAGCTAAGGTCTGGGACGCCCCACAGCCTCCTGGCTGAAAGTACAAGCCCTTCAGATAAGGTGAATCAGGACCTCTCAGCCCCGTCACCTGCAGACTGTGGCCTGCTGAGTGAGCACCTGCCCTGGGGGCCGAGCCTGATCCTGCCCAGCCAAGCACCCCCTTCCCCGGCCTGCAGGGGCTGCCCACTCCCCGTCCTGGGTTCCGGCCCGCAGGACAGGCAGCTGTGCCTGACCACTGGGGTGCTGCGCTCCTTGCCCTCTTACGCTGACGGGAGCTGGCCCCCTCAGGCCCTCCGTGGAGTCTTCTCAGGAGGTTTTGGCTGGTGGTGGGACACACCCCTCCCTGGGGTGGAGGGAGCCACAGGAAGGTCATTTGGGAACCTGCCTGGGCCACACTTTGTGCACACAGAGCTGCTGGACAGCCGCTGGCCTCACAGCCTAGCTGTCCCTGTCACCATCTTGTCAGGTAGAACTGCTGGCATTGTCCTGGGCCCAGAGCAGGTAGAAGCCTGGCATTTCTTGTGGTCCTGCAGTCCTCCTAGCTGGCCAGAGGTCTGAGGAGTAGAGCTACCCTAGCAGTCAGACCCTGGGATGGGGGATTGGAATTCCCAGCAGAGGGGTCCTAGAAACAGGGACTCCGATCTGTTGTTTCAAAGTCAAGGTTGTTTCTAACCTATCTTCCCTCCTGTGATATGGGGTGGGAACCAGAGCCTGGTGCCCGCTGGGCAGGTGCTCTTCCTCTGAACTACACCTCAGCCCTTTTCATTTTGAGGGACAGGGTTTCTCTAAATTGCTGAGGCTGGCTTCAAACTTGCTATCCTCCTGCCTCAGCCTCCCAGGTCACTGGGATTATAGTCATGTGCCACCACACCTGGCTGTTAACTTTTTTTTACTGGAAAATTATTTTAAGACTCACAAGAAGTTGCAAAAATAATAAAGGTTCTTTGCGCCTGTCACCAGATTACCACTGATAAGGTCTTAGGTGACCAAAGGACATGTTCAGATCAGGACACAAATGTGGTACATTCTAGTGCCCTTGGCTAATCCACGGGCATTACCGTGTTTGGGCTTGGCAGGTGTTAGGAGGGCGTGTGTGTGTGTGTGTGTGTGTGTGTGTGTGTGTGTGTTGCGATGTCATTTTTCCCTGCCTGTGGCTTGGTGGGCCGTCTAGACCCTTCCCCGCAGCCAGCCCCGAGGTCCTTGGTTCGTTTTGTAAGAGGGCAGCTGGACTGTCCGTACCGTCGGTGTCTGGTCTTGTTCGTCTGAGTAATGGTGGACTCCCTCTTTGTTTTAGGACAAATTCTCCAAAAATCTTGCCAGATATTCTGAGGAAAATTGGGAACACCCCGATGGTCAGGATCAACAAGATCGGGAAGAGCGCTGGCCTCAAATGCGAGCTCTGTGAGTGCCGCCCCGCGCTCCCCGACCCCGCGCTCCCCGACCCTAGGACGGACCCCAGATGAGGCCCTGGGCCGCAGGCTGTGGGGCAGGCAGCCTGCTGGTGGCTTGGGTGGAGGTCATATCAGTAAAGTTCGAGAAGGAAGTGCCGTAGGGTTTCGTCAGGGTGAGCAGGGGGGCCACCCGGAGCTGCTGGCAGCGGGGAGCTGACCTTGAGTGAGGAGTGAGGTGAAGACCCCAAGGCAGAGCGGAGCAGATTGTGCCCAGGGCTTCCCTGGGGCCACTTCAGGGGAAGTGGGCAAGTCCTAGGTAGGGGTGTGGCCATCAGTGGACAGGAGGGGTCCATCTCTGTGTCCAGCTGGCTCGTGAGTGTTAGAACAGAGAGACGGCCAGACACACGTCACAGGTCATTTCAGCCTTTATTCAGGAATGGGACCCCACGGGAATGGGCCCACTTCGCTGGTGGAAAATGAGCCGCTAAACACGTTGCTTTGTGCACTCGGAAAGTGGGGCCGCGAGCAGGGGGCCGGTGGCCAGTGCCTGGGAGCAGTTGCCTTGGAAGAGATCAGGGTTTCCTAGAGAGTGTCACTTGTGGGTTGGAGGGGACACTGTCTCCCCCCGTGGCTGGCATCTGGGAAGGACTTACCTTGGGTGGGAAGAAAGTTGTCGCTGTGTGGCTCTTCCTATTTCTTTCTCCCAGGCCTCACTGTTTGGGGTGTTTCCTTTTCCGTGTCCATAGTGGGGACCGAGCTCAGCCAATCCCCGATGAGGCAGAAGGGGCCTGGGAGGGTCAGCAGCCGCAGTGAACACTGGACCTTACCTCAGCCTTTGCTGGGTAAAGGAGCTGCTCCCAGAGCAGAAGGGGCAGGGGCACCCTCCCGGGGGAGAGGCCTGCACACCTGAGCCCCAGGGAGCGGGGTCTGGGGTCGGAACCAGCAGTAGGGCAGCCGGAAGGGCCAGGAGCCTGGGGACAGGCTGGGGACCAGGTGTCTAGCTTGTGACTCCAAGGTCCCTGCTGCATGGAGAGGAGATGTCCCTGCCACGGGGTGTCCTGAGACAGCTGGAGGCACTGGGAGTGGAGGGCCTGGGGGCCTGCCTCCTGCCCCCCCCCCTAGGGGTGGGGTTCCCTAGAGAAGTGGACCTGCTCCCTGAGCACTGCCAGGCACCTAGACTGCTCCAGAACAGCCCCCTTCAGGAGACCAGGGCTGTGTCCCTTTGTCAGGCGGTACAGAGGTGGCTAGGGCACCAGCCAAGCTGCTCAGACCACGTCTGCACTTGGTAGTGGCCTCCGAGGTGGGCCAGCCTGGCCCCGCAGCTGGATTCCCAAGCAGGGCCGTCCCCAGCTGTGAGAGGCGTCCTCCAGTGACTCTCTGGGATGCAGGCCTCTTGGCCACACGTCACCCCACCCCACCCCCACCCCAAACCACAGCGCCTCCACCTGGTCCTGGGGTGAAGTGTTTGGTTGTGGTTTTCAGAAACACGGATGAGTCAGGCCGGGTGGCTGTGGGTGTTACAGGTCAGTCCAGGGTCCTTCAAACCGTGTTGGTGCAGACCAATACCCACCCCCTTGGAAAACGAGATACTTTGAGAGCTGGGGAGAGAGGCCTTCCCTAAAGGAAGAAGAGCCCAGGCTAGGCCCCTGGCCTCAGAGCGCAGTTGGGAGGGGCTTCGGGCAGGGGAGTGACCCCAGCCGTGGCTGGAGGACAATCAAGGTGATGGTCAGCAGGGCCTGCCAGTTCAGCTGGCCTCAGGTGTGGGACTCACAGCCAGCCCTGCTGCAGTCCTACATGCTGCAGTGGGACTGCCTGCCTCAGAGGGACACACTGTGGCCTGTCCGCCTGGTGGGGGCTCCTTGGTGTCTTTTCCTCGCTCTCGCAGAGTCGCCCTGTGCCCTGTAGGGGTGTGTGCGTGGCCTGCAGTGGGAAAGCCCTGATCCGCCAGCACCCAGGTGCAGGGGCGTGGAGGGGCGACTTCCAGAGTGGGTAAGCCCAAACCTGGGGCCACGCTGGGGTGCGTCTGGTAACCGGAGGGTAAGCAGGAGTCCATCGGGGTCGGGGTCTTCTCCCTCCTGAACCATCTCTGGCTCCCAGTGGCCAAGTGTGAGTTCTTCAACGCGGGCGGGAGTGTGAAGGACCGCATCAGCCTGCGCATGATTGAGGACGCCGAGCGCGATGGGACCCTGAAACCCGGGGACACGATCATTGAGCCGACATCTGGGAACACAGGTTGGTGCAGGGAGCAGCAGGAGGGTGGCCGGTGCTGGCCACCCTTCCCACTCAGCATCTCTTGGGTGAACACAGCTGGGATCCCATCCTGACCCCGGGCTCTTCCTCGTGAGCAGAGGTGCCTGTGGTTCTGCCTCTGCGTTCCCTTGGCCCCACGTGGGGGTGGCAGGTGCTGAGGTGGGTTTTGGACATCCTCAGTACTCTGCCCAGGGCCTTCCTGGCAGGGCAGCTGGACTTGGAGCTTGTCCCTGGTGTCCTGACAGGGACGGGCAGGGCCAGCCCCCGGGCCCCTCACACCCTCCGTGCTGCCCTCAGGGATCGGGCTGGCGCTGGCTGCGGCCGTGAAGGGCTATCGCTGCATCATCGTGATGCCCGAGAAGATGAGCATGGAGAAGGTGGGTGCTGGGTGCGGGGCGCGGCGGGCCCCGGCTCAGGCCTGACGGTAGGACGAGGTGTGGCTCTCCACCTGCAGGTGGATGTCCTGCGGGCCCTGGGGGCGGAGATCGTGAGGACGCCCACCAACGCCAGGTTCGACTCCCCCGAGTCCCATGTGGGCGTGGCATGGCGGCTGAAGAACGAGATCCCCAATTCCCACATCCTGGACCAGGTGAGGTGCTGCAGCCCGGGTGTCCGGGGTTGGTCCTGCGCCCATCTGAGAGATCCCCGGGGCTCTGGGGGCTTCGGGCGGTGTGGTGGGCGCTGGGCCTGCCGCTGGGCCTGCGGTGCTCCTGCCCGTGGAGCCACAGGCCTGCGGCCCTGCGTGCTGCCAGCTGCGGCTCAGCGAGGCCCCGGAGCGCTCTGCGGGCGGCAGACTCGATTCCTCCTGGACGTGTGTCTGGCTGAACAGGAGCTGTGTGTTCTGGGGGGCCCTCTGCCCCGGGCCTTGGGCTCCTCCCTGGCCCTCCACTGAGCTGGGGGCCAGCCGGCTGTGGCTGGTGTGGCGGAGGCCTTCACGCTCCTGGCCCTTGGCTCTCTCTGCACAGTACCGCAATGCCAGCAACCCCCTGGCCCACTACGACGCCACCGCGGAGGAGATCCTGCAGCAGTGTGATGGTGTGTGCTCCCCGTGGGCCTCGGTTTCCTTTGTCCCTGGTTGTCTGGAGTGTACAGATCACGTGTCCTCTTCCTGGCCAACTCCTGTTCACCGTGCAGAAGCCCTCTGAAATGTTCCTCTCTAAAATGGCCTCCAGGGCAGCGGGGCGAGCTGCAGCGGGCAGTGAACTCAGCCTTGTTCCCTCACCTCCAGGCTGGGTGCTGAGGGCCACAATTAGCTTATTGTCCCTACAGGCATGTGGCTCCTGGAACCGTGTCCACTCCCGAGTGCCAAGTCCTGGGGGTCAGGGAGATGCTGTGCCAGCAGATCCCTGTGGGAAAGAGCTGGGAGGCGGGAGCCTCGGCCGCCCGTTGGCACTGGCCCAGGTGACAGGCTGGCCCAAGCCTTTGCTTGCCCCATTTTATGAGCCAGCCTCCTCTCACTTGGCAACAGAGGCCTGGCTGGCGGGGGGTTGCGGCCGGCGCCTGGGCCTGCCTGTGCTCAGACTCGCCCGGAGGGTCTGGGGTGGCCCAGGCGTGCCAGCGCCCAGCCTGAGCAGTCTGCCCCGTTTCCTTTAAAAATTCAGTGGACTATTCCCATCACCAACAAGGGACACGGTCCTGCCACCTGCACCCAGTGGGCATCAGCTCCAGACTCATCCATGGGGGGCTTTGAGGGCCGAGGGTCTCTGAGCAGAGCCAGGGCAAAACCCATCATCCCTGTCTTCTTGCTCGGACCCGTGAAGGCCGTGAGCTCCGTTTGCACTTGAGGCTGGACTTTCCTTGGGGCACTTGATCACTGGGCTGTGTGCTCTGGGTATTGCAAGGAGTGGGGGCTGGCCTCACTGGCCTGAGACCTTCTCCCTCCACCAGGGAAGCTGGACATGCTGGTGGCTACTGTGGGCACGGGGGGCACGATCACAGGCATCGCCAGGAAGCTGAAGGAGAAGTGTCCTGGGTGCAGAGTGAGTAGCGCCAGGGGCGGGTTGGCACTGCTGGGCCTGTGGCCTGGTCCACTGGCCTTTCTCACCGGGCCCCGAGCTGTTCCTGGGCGTGGGCCGCAGAGCACTGCCATCTGCACCCCGGGGGATGTTTGTCAAGTGTGCTTCAGGGGTGGGGTCTCCTCCTGCCATGACCCGGGGTCTGCTGTGCTAAGTGGAGATGAGGGTCAGCCTGGGGGTGGAGTTGAGTCAGGCCCTGGATTTGGGGTTCAGGGCTGGTCTGAGGATGGCTTGCAGCAATACCTGGCTGGCTACTCTTTCTGGATGGTATTGCCCACCAACCTGGAAGAGGTCAATGTCCAGAGCTTCCCTGTGTCCCTTAAGGCTCTGGCTGCCCCAGTACTGGGGGGGTCCTTTCCAGAGGAACCGTGGGAGGTCACCTCTGAGGGTCCTACTCAGGACACTGCTTCAGATGGGTTGTCACAGCTCCTACTCTGGGCCTGGTTCTGGACATTCTTCCTGCCTCTGAGCCCCAGACAGCATGTGTGCCCTGTGGATGGGTCATTAAGAGTCACGTGTTAGCAGTGGGGGTGGCTCCTCCAGTAAGTCCAGATGAGGTTTGGTCCCCAGCTTGAACACTGAAACCACCCACTCTGCAGATCATCGGGGTAGACCCGGAAGGGTCCATCCTTGCGGAGCCCGAAGAGCTGAACCAGACAGACCAGACCTTCTACGAGGTGGAAGGGATTGGCTACGACTTCATCCCCACGGTGCTGGACAGGGCGGTAGGTTGGGCCAGAGCACTGCACGGCCAGGCAGCTGCAGCCTGGTGCCTGGGCACTGGCTTTCCACTGAGTGGGACGGAAGAATAAGCACCAGCATAGGGAGTTTGAGGGCTTCTGGTATCGGGGTCAGTGACGGCAGGCTGGGGCAGGAGGGTCGCAGGTTCTAGGCCAGCCTCAGCAACTTAGTAAGACCTCGACTCAAAAAAATAAATGAAAGCAGGTGTCCTCAGGGTTAACTCCTGGGAAGGGGCACTACCAGATCCAAGTTCACGCCCTGGCACTGCCTCCACGGCTCACTGCGGCTGGGTGGTGAGGGCACAGGCCAATTAAGATGCCAGGCCCTGCAGCAGCCCCCGGTCCTGGCGGGGCTGTAGTTGAGAAGCGTGTTGGAACAGGAAGGGCAGAGAGCGCCAGGTTTGCAGGCGGGAGTGCTGGGTTCTTTGGGGGCCACAGCCACCCAGAGAAGTCTTAGGTGGTCCCTGCCCCAGCTGACGTCCATGGCGTCTGGCCACAGGTGGTGGACAAGTGGTTCAAGAGCAACGACGAGGAGTCCTTCGCCTTTGCGCGCATGCTGATTGCACAGGAAGGACTGCTGTGTGGTGAGTGGCGGCGCCCCTGGGGTGGTGGGGCAGGCGCAGTGGGGGCCATGCCCTCTGCCGGCTCCTAGGCTCTCTGGGGCAGTGTGCCCGCAGTGGTGCACTGCTTGGGGGCCATCTGCCGTGGCCTTCCTCTGCAGCAGTTGCTTGCTCTTGCTGTAGCTCATGCTCACCTGCGCAGGTGAGGGTGGGCGGGGCAGGGCTCTTGGCAGAACTCTCGGGGTACTCAGTCAAGACCAGCCCTGTCTATGGTTGGGCGCCTCATCAGCAGGGTCCAGAGCCAGGACAGGGTGCCCCCAGGGCCCTGGAGAGGCTGGGCTGGGTCTCCCTCCACCTTTGTGGCCCCAAAGAAAATGGATGGAGATTCTTGACAGCTCCCTTCTCTGTGGCCCAGAGGCCCGTCCAGGACTAGGCTCACCAGCCTCACCTGAGCCCTCGGCCGCCTGCTCAGGGTGGACAGAGCAGCACTGGGGACCATACCATGCAGGACAGCAGGGCCAGTTTGGTGAAACCTCAGGGTTTACCACTTGAAGCACCATGTGTGGGAACTGCCCTCCATGCAGCCAGTCCCTGCCACCCAGTCCCACCTTGAAGACTGGGACCAAGCCCCTGCTGATGACAAGAACCTGCCAAGCGCTGCTTTGGGGAAAGGCGACTTGCTCCCTGGCCTTGGGCCCTGGGAGCCAGGCAGCAGGCCCTCTGCCTCCCTGGAGAGGAGAGTCTCCCTGCAGGCCACGCTCTTGTGGCCACTTAGAGCCAAGTCCAGACGCAGCCCAGATGTGCCCCAGCTGGAGGTGCAGGTGCAGCCCCTGGATTCAGGCTCCTAGGGTCTGGCACAGTTGGCAGGACCTGGTGTCACCCACCTCCTCGTGGGGTGACCATGAGCAGCCGCTGAGATGGCAGGCTATCCCTGGCACTCAAACGGGACCAGGGGTGTTTGCATGGGACCCAGAGCCCACCTTGGGCATCCCCTGTCACCAGCCTTGCCCTGGCCAATCAGAAAGTCTCACCTCCTCCTGGGCCTTCTTACTCGCCCTCAGTGGGAATGTGAAGCATGTGTGGGTCCTTGCAGGCCCTGCTCCTCTGCCCACAGCTCTGCCCAGAGTAGGTCAGGTGTGCTACAGGCACTCACGGGCAGGGAGCACACACACGGTGCCAGCGTCCCACAGGGCCTCTGAGGGTACCTGGGCATGCGTGTGGGTGTGCACGTACCCAGGCGTGTAGATGGCCAGCTGCGTGGTCCTTGGCAGGTGGCAGCTCCGGCAGCGCCATGGCTGTGGCTGTGAAGGCGGCCCAGGATCTGCAGGAGGGTCAGCGCTGTGTGGTCATCCTGCCCGACTCTGTGCGGAACTACATGTGAGCCCTGCTCCCTTGTCCTCCAGCCCTGCCCCTGTCCTCGACACCACCTGGCTGCTGTCCCCGCCCTGCTGCCTCACCAGGGAACCGACGGCAGGAACCTGGCAGGAACCTGGAGGTGGCGGGCCCCAGGAGCTCTGGGGCCCCGTCTCTGTCCCTATCGCGGCTCAAGGCCTCAGCTCCATGGGCCAGTGTGTGGCACCAGTGTCCTTAAGGGAGAGCCTGCTGCCCCTGCCATCCAGGCGCCTGCTGACCTGAACCTGAGAGAGCCTGGGCAGGACCAGTCCTGGCGGGGTGCCTGAGAACTTGCTGTGGCTTGCCATGGCCTTCGACTTGCAGGACAGACCTGGCCCCCCTGAGTGGCCATTCGGCTTCCAGCTCCTTTCGATGGGGCAGTGCCTCACCCCAGGTCCCACTGAAGCAGGGGAAGCTGCCCTGCAGCAGGCCTTGTGATCAGTGGAGCAGCAAGGCTGGGACAGGCCGTCCATCCCCCATTCCCTCTCTTATACACAGGGCTTCCTCCTGGCCTGAGCCTCTGCATGACCCTGCTGCCCTTGCTGGGCAGGCATAGTGGGTGGGCACCCCCAGGTGGGTTCCCAGACGTGGGATGATTCATACCTGGGTGCCCACTGCCAGGTTGCCCTAAGCAGGGCTCCTGCCTGCCCCGGCAGCGCGTCTCCCTGAGCACTTGGGTGGGCTGCTGTGCCTACGTGTGAGCTGGCGAGCAGCCTGGTCTGTGAGAGTGGTAACGGTGTGTGCGTGGGGCAGGAAGTGTGAGGGGTCAGTGTGTGTGTGTGTGGTGGTACTTGGCTGCCTCTTAGGAGGTGGCAGCAGCTGTGTGGCTTCCTCTGCTGTCCTTTGACTGAGCAGGGTGGACTTCCTCTGTTGGGGCAGACCTGGAGGCCAAGGAGGAGGCTACCTAGGGGCCCCTGAGGGGCTGTGAGCACAGAGGCCCCAGAAAACAGCCTCGCCCAAGGCTCTGAGCCCATCAGCCCAAGCATGGTGCCCTGGCTGACCAGATGCCCCTTCCTCCTGCAGTTCCTGGCCCAGGTCCTCCTGAACCCTGGACCTTCTGCCAGGCTCTCGCTGTCCCCTGGACTAGTAAGGTCCAGGAACCACGTCCCTGAGTGCAGAGGGTGTGCACCTGGCGTGTGCAGAGGCTGTGGTGGGGGCCTTGGCCTTGGTGACACCACAATCCCTGCAGGTCCAAGTTCCTGAGTGACAAGTGGATGCTGCAGAAGGGCTTTTTGAAGGAGGAGGACCTCTTGGTGAAGAGGCCGTGGTAAGGACGCCTGAGCAGGGACACAGCGCCTGGGCAGGGTGCATGGTCCCCGTAGCCCCTGCGGTGAGGCCTGCTGTGAAGCACCGGTCCCCGGCCTTCCCTTTCCCTAGGTGGTGGCACCTGCGAGTTCAGGAGCTGAGCCTGTCGGCCCCGCTGACTGTGCTGCCCACCGTCACCTGTGAGCACACCATCACCATCCTCCGCGAGAAGGGCTTCGACCAGGCGCCTGTGGTTGAGGAGTCGGGGTCAGTCCCCGCTTCCCCCCACCCCCACCCCAGTGCAGAGCTCCGTCCTCTGGGCCCTACAAGCAGCCCCTGGCCCCTATGTGTGGTGTCACCAGACGAGGTAGCTGAGGCCCATGCTGCTAGGGTGTGGTCACTGTGCATCGTGTTCAGAACCTTGGCTACCCGCTGGTCAGCCCCTGGAGCGGCAGCAGGTGCGATGGGGGGTTCTTCCGGCCGGGGCCTCCGAGCTCCTGCCTCATTGCTCACGTACACACTTTTGCCCTGGGCCTCTGCCCAGGAGGCAGGTGGCAGGCACCTTGGGGTGTGTCTCACAGGAGAGGTCCATGGCAGCCATGCCCAGGTGACCAGCTGTCCCACGTCTAGCATTTAAAGTCCTGGGAGTCTCCACACCTGTGAGAACAGAAATAGTCCAGGACTTGAGTTCACCATGTCCTGGGGGATCTCTGTGTTCCTGCCAGGTGGAGGCCAGAGACCCCCAGTGTAGCTGTGGGCAAGTCTGACCCCTGCCTTCCCCCACCCATTCTCTATCCCCTGCAGGGCCATCCTGGGGATGGTGACTCTTGGGAACATGCTGTCGTCCCTGCTTGCTGGGAAGGTGCAGCCGTCAGACCAAGTCTGCAAAGTCCTCTACAAGCAGTTCAAACCGGTTGGTATGCCCTGAGTAGAGCAGCCCCTGCCCACAGGACCCTCTGCCTCTCTCCAGGGCACCTGCAGAGGGCGGGTATTTATTCCAGCCTTGGTTTGTCCTCAGAGCAGGACACAAGTGCTTCCTGGGGAAGGGGACCAGGTCCCTGGCTGTAACCACACTCAGGTGCCACCTGTACCCCATCAAAGCCCAGGGTTCAAGTGCAGAGCCAAGAAGGGCAGCTCTGGCCAGGGTCGCTTCCCCTCAGGTGCTGTGTGGTGGGGCCTGGGGTCAGCAGCAGCCTGGGGACCACCAATGCAGTCCCAAGGGCCTCCGCAGGTGGTCTTTCTCTCAACCCTTCATCTTTGTTGTGTCTGCTTCCGTGGGAGAACACCTAGTGTACCTGGTCCCCTCGTAAGAACCCAGCTCTTCAGGGACAGGCCAGAGCAGGCCCTGTGCTGGCCAGGTCGTGGCTGCCAGGGCAGCGCCTGGCGTTGCTTCTGCTGGCCCCGGGCAGAGCCTGGCTCTCCACACAGACCCTATGAGCTGGAACAGGGAGTGTTGGCTGTGCAGGCTGCTGAGCTGAGGGGCTCCGCCCAGAGCAGGCCGCAGACCTGACCTCTCCTCTCCCGCGTCTCGCATACCCACGGACACTGCCAGATCGGCCCTCCCCCTTCCCGTCACCTGTCACGGCCTCTTTTGTGGTCCTCACAGGGCCCTTGGGCCTCTAACCCCCACAAAGCCAGCCTACCTGGAGTTAAAACCGAAATCCCTGCCCCTCCCTGTCCCCTCACGTGGTGAGGCCTCCCAGCCTGGCTCTCCTGCTGTTCACATGGCCTCCTGGGCCTCCCTGACCACGGGCCCCTCTGCAGAGGGTGGGTGTTTGTCCCAGCCTTGGTCTGTCTTGTTCTTTTAACACTGTGGACTGAGCCCCGGGGCACTCAACCACCGAGCCACATTCACAGCCCCTCTGGGGTATTTTACTTGGAGACAAGGTCTCACTGAGTTGTTCACGGCCTCACTAAGTTGCGGAGGCTGGCTTTGACCTCCTGATCAGCCTTCCCCATTGCCGACTAGTTCTGGAAGTTTCCTTCCTTCACACCTCTTCTGTTCCTAAGTGAGGTGTGGTTGCACACAGTGGGTGCTGAGCATGTAGTTCCATGATTTGATGTAAAATGCCCCCGGGAAACCCTCACCCACCCACGTCCATCAGCCCCAGCGCTTCTTCCTGCCCCGCTCGCCTCCCCACCAGCAAGACGGACCTGCCTGTGGCTGTTCATGGAAGCCACGCGCTGACCTCCGACTCCTTCCTCATGGGGAGTGTATCCATTGCTCTTTGGCCTCCTGTGCATGTTCTCGTCTGTGCCAGGCGTGGGAGCGCTCTCCAGCCTGCAGGGGGGCCACTTCTGCTGCTAGCCCTCCGCCCGGGCTGGCTTGCATCTCTGTTTGGGCTGCTGCCCATTTTCCCACTGGAGGTGGGGTCAGGTGGCTGCGCCCAGTGTGTTGTGGGACTGGGAAAAGATGAGAATTCCCCACCAGGCCCTGGGAAGGGTGTGAGGGCTGTAGGGTGGGCCCTTCTGAGGACAGGGGGCTTCCTGGCCCAGCACCTGTGTCCCACAGATGCCTCCAAGGTGTGAGCTTGCCTCCAGTGGGAGTCATCACAGTGTCACAGACCCCAGTGTGTATGGCCCTAGGAATCCCAGAACCAATCCCTCCCTCCTCAGCCCCGCAACCCCTGATCTGGGCTCACAAAGCTGGCTGCCATGCTGACCCCCTCCCAACAGCATCTGCTGGCCCCCTTACCCTGATTGGCAGCTCATCTGAGTGTGTTTCTTGAGTGCTGTGCCACCCTCTGACTGGCGTGGCAGTGCCCTGCCAGCCCTCCCCCCACCCCACGTCCTTTCCGTGGAGGGACTGTGGGTGGCTATGGTGCAGGCAGCAGCCTTCTGTCTCCAGTGAGTGCTCCACGGTTCCCTTCCAGATCCGCCTGACGGACACGCTGGGCACCCTCTCGCACGTCCTGGAGATTGACCACTTTGCCCTGGTGGTCCATGAGCAGATCCAGTGTAAGTGGGTCCACACAGCGCTCTGTCCTCAGGGTGGGGTGCCGATTGGCCTGGGCCTCCACGTGCACAGTCCTGCTGTGTGCAGAAGACACCCCGTCCTTCACGGGTGACGGGGAGTGGGTGGTACTGACTTGTGTATTCCCCACCCCAGGCTCTCGGCCATGGGAGCCCGTGATCCCAGCCTTGTCTCCAGGGATGTGCAGGGTAGGCGGTGCTTGGCAAACCCCACTGTCACCTGGGCAGGGGCTCCTCTGCTGCAGTGCAGGGGCTCAGGCTCAGTGGGCCCTTGGCCCTAGGTGGCAGGCAGTCACAGGGATGCTTGTTTTTTTGCTGTACGGGCCATTGAGCCCAGGGCCTCATGCTAGGACCCTACCACTGAGCCACATCCCCAGCTCAAGTTTACCTTGTGAGTAGTGAGGATTACAGGGGTCTGCCACCACACCTAGCCTGTCTCTGGGACTGTAAGGGACAATCCCAGGAAACCCTGGAACAGTTGCAATCTTGGCTGCTGGCAATGTCCTGCGTCCCCAGGAGAGGCCACATTGACCTGACAGCCTCCTGCCCTTGGGCGCTGGCCCTGAGGGACTGTTTGTGGCCGTACCTTGGTGTCTGCTTCCAGCCAGCTCTGGGGCACTGTGGTCCCTGCTCACACAGCTGCTTCCTGGGCATTGGAAGGCCAGCAGGGTCCTCCTCGCCTTCTAAGAGCCCTGGGAAGCAGAGGGCCCTGGGGCCCAGCCAAGGCTGGTCAGTGAGGGCCTGGGGCGACCACAATCTAACCCTCTCCCGTCCTTGGCTCTGCAGCACGGGACCAGGCCTGGTCAGGAGTGGTGGGGGGGCCTGCAGGTATGTACGTCCATCCCACCCCTCGAAAAAATAGCCCTCCACTCAGAACCAGAGCCTCCTGAGGCAACAGGCATCCAGGGTCCCACCCTGATCCCACGTTTACTTACATCTGAATACCTCAGAAAACAGTGGGTGCCAATGTCAGAGTCCACAAAGTGTTTTTATTTTTTCCTATGGTGCTGGGGCTGGAACCCAGGGCCTTGGACATGGGAGCCAGTGTTCCGCACTGAGCGCACCCCAGCCCCACAGAGAAGGCTTTGTTGGAACTTGTCCTGCTTGTCCCCATTCTGGGCTCCATCATGTGACATTGGAAGAGTTGAATGGCTCTGATAGACTGCATGATCTGCAGACCTCAAATACTGACCACTGGTCCTCCGTGGAGCCGGGTTTTAGGGGGTCCATAGGGCAAAGGCAGCACAGGTCACCGGTTCTGTTCTGGATTCTATTTTTCTGAGGCTCCTACTGGGGCACCAAGGTCCCTGCCCACTGTGGGCCTCTCTAGTCCCGAGGGTCTCTGCTCAGGCAGGAAGCAGGGTCTGGGTAGTCGTCCCTTCTGCCCTGCCTGCCCTCTGTGTGCCTGGAGGTGACTCTTGCCAATGAATGAGGGGACTCCAGAGAACAGGGCTGACAGGGTATGTATCTGTAGAAAGAGAGGAGTCGTGAGGAACTGGCCTGTGATCTTGGAGGTTTCGATCCCCAGAGCAGCCTGGAGCCCAGGAGAGGTGATGTGTCAGTTAAGTCCAAAATCAGGAAACCCCTTCCTCTGGGAGATGGGGCCTTGCTGGTCCAGACCCTCCACTTACTGGACAAGGCCCACCACACCGGCTAGGGCATCTGCCCTCCAGGGTTCTTAACTCAGATGCTGAGCTCATCCAAAACACTCACAGACACATCCCAGTACTATCTGGGCAGACCTCGAGATTCCGGAGGACCCAGCCAAGCCGATGATGAACACCAAACACCGGGAGCACCCTCTGCCTGCTGGCTCTGTGGTGTGGGGCTGGGCTGGCACTGATTTGAAGACTGAGCCCCAGAGAAAGGACTGCGTCTGCTGACAGAATCAGGCAGAGGCTGAGCAGGTGTTGCTCAGGGCACCAATGGCCTGAGCCTCCTGCTAGGGTGCCTTGGCGTAGAGAGGGCCAAGGCTTGTCCTGAGGTGGTGAGACAGTGCTGCCCCCAGACCATCCGTTCTGGGGGCCTGGATTAGGTCAGCCTGCAGCCTGGCTCTGCCCACATGCTCCGGTTGGAGGGAGACAATGTGGCCCTGGGCTGTTTGGGTTGCCCAGTGCTCCCCACGCACAGGAGGCTGGGGAGGGGCTAGCACAGCCTCCTTGCTGGCCGGCCTGCAGCAGCCCTGGGGTGACGTGCTGCCTCAGATCCGCTTTGTGCCAGGTGCCTCCTGACCAGGGGCCCTGTCTTCTTCCCCAGACCACAGCAATGGCAAGTCCAGCGAGCGGCAGATGGTGTTTGGGGTTGTCACGGCCATTGACCTGTTGAACTTCGTGGCAGCTCGCGAGGAGGATGGGAAATGATCCTGCGAGTCCGCGCCTTGCTCCCACCCTCCCTCTGCTTTTCCAGATGCTAAGCAGATTCCCCTGGTCTGGACAATTCATAAAAGTGGAACTGCAGTCTGGCCTCCTGTCTTCCTGGTGTGTCTCGAGTCCCCAGCAGTGTGCATGGGTCTCCACACGGCGTGGACGCTTGTTTCCGCCTGTGACACAGGTGCGCGTGTCCCAGCATCACCCACACTTTTCTGGGGTGCATGCCCAGGAGAAGAGCTGTGGGGTCGTGGGGCAGCCTTGCCTTAACCTGGAGGAGCCGCCCTGCTCCTTGTCCCCCAGGGCGCAGGGTCCGCGCCAGTAGTCTTCACTTGTCACTGCCGAGTTGAGTCGCAGCCATGCTATCCGTCCCCAGCCCCTCACTGGTTTGGGTCTGCATTTGATGACTGCTGGCGTTGGACGTCTGTCCAGTATTTGCTGGTCAGCCGGCAGCTCTGGGAAGCCCTTACCCATTAGGAAAGCGCTCTAGCACCTCGGTTTTCTTTTTTGTTGAGTTGTAGATTCTTTACACACTCTGAATACTGAAACAGTTCCTGAAGTTCTTTGAGGCACGATTTTTAATTTTGGCAAAGCCAAGGTGTTTCTTCCTGTTGCTCTTACTTTTGGAGTTACACTGTGACATCTAAGATGTCACTCTTGGAAAAAACAGGTGTGAATTTCCACCAAGTTTTATGGCTTTAGCTCCCTGATCCATCTACTTTTGTAGATGAGAGAATGAGGGAGCTATCATTCTTCTGAAGATGACCCATTTATCTCAGGACATTATTATATTTTTTTGGTACTGGGGATTAAACCCAGGGGCACTTAACCGCTGAGCCACATCCTTTTTTATATTTTATTTAGACTTGCTAAGGGCCTTGCTAAGTTGGCGAGGCTGGCTTTGAACTCACGATCCTCCTGCCTCAGCTTCCCAAGCTTGTAGGATTGGCTTAAGCTACTACACTGGAGCGGTCAGAGTGGAAGTGGATTCCTACACGTGGGGGAGAATCTGCACTTCCATGGAAGGGTGTGCCCCCTTCGCATCTGTGCCTCAAACAAGCAGCATAAGCAAGTGTTTGGAAATATGGGCAGACTCCCCAAGATCCAGCTGGAAGGACTGAGCTGCCTTTGGGAGGAAGAGTCGGGGGCAGAGGGTGGTGTTGTGACCATCTAGAACTCCGACCTACTGTGTATGACCATCTTTAAAAATAGTTTGCATCAGTGATGGAGCGCTGGCCCAGCATGTACGAGGCACTGGGTTCAGTTCTCAGCACTGCATGTAAATAAGGCCCATTGACAGCTAAGAAAGTAGTAGTTTACACAAACCCAGTAAAACAGTCTATGGAGAATGGGGTAGAAATGACTTGGTGGCACTTTTTTGAAAGCTCAGGGATTGATATTAGGTTCCCGTGAGCCACTGGCCAAATGGAGGAAATGGGACAGGGGCTGGACAGGACCCTGTGGTGGCAGCACTCTGACCTGGGAGCGCACAGTCCTGCACCTCCAGCAGCCTGGCTGTCATGCTGGTATCTGACATCCTTAACAGTTTTGTGGTCCAGCCTCGGCACCGTGGAGATCACTGTCCCCGTGATGGTGTAGTCACCGGGCAACCCAGAGTCACTCTCCGAGCCTGGGCTCCACCTCAGGTTTTGCACACGAAGGCTGGGAGGACAAGCCTTCCTGGGGCCCTGGAGCATCTTGGGGACGGGCTGCCCCTCTGCCCGTGCAGGCTGCAGACCTGGGAAGCCCTCATTCATACAGCGCCACCTCTGAGGCCACAGCCTGTGGCAGCACACAGTGGGGCTCTCCACAGGCCCCCTGGCTAGGCAGACCATGGTGCAGGTCCTGGGGTCACCACGTGCCTCTACCGTGTTCCTGGGCTTCTCTCCCGTCTCCTGTCTCATCTGCTTCATGAGAGCAAGACCCAGGAAGCGCTGCCATTTCCTGATGACTTCGTTCCCACTCCCTGGCACCAGCCATGCCCCTGCTGTCCCTCAGTCTCAACAGAGGCCTGCAGGCAGGGCAGGCCCCACTGGTCCTGGTGTCCACCTGCTGTGGGGGTTGCAGAGGTCCCTGCCCAGTTCCTGGCCTCCTGAAGGCTAGAGGCTCTTCAGATCTCAGAAAAAAGCAGGCCTCACCCCAAACCAGGGCCTGCTGAGAGGGGAGAAGGGTATAAACCCCCTGAGAAGTGCAGTTTCGTTGGTGCTATTTGACACTTCGACTGAGGGTGGGGCATTCAATTAGAACAGTGGGGGTTGCAGATAATGGCCCCCCGGGCCTCATGTCCCATTCCTGTGGTTACCTTGGAAAGCTCTTTGCCTGTGAGAGACAGGACCCTGGCTGGGGAGGCTCTCCACTTGCCCCAGCACGCTGCGGGCTCTCTGCACGCGAGTTGGCTAGGGCTGCTGCAGCAGCAGCGCACACAAACCCAGGGGCTCGGCCAACAGGAATCCCAAGAAGTCCACCATCGGGTGGGAGCAGGGCAGGCTCCTGTGGCTGCCAGGAGACCCTGTCCCGGCTGCAGGTGGCTTGCCGGCCGCCTCCGGCATTCCTCCACCTTGGCTTTGGTCTTACCTGGGGACCTCCCTCTGCTCCCACCATGTCCCAGTTACTCCTCTGGGTGAGGATGCTCACTGTGAGGAACCACTCTTGACGGCCTGTTAACACAAGTCACCCAAGACCCTGTCTCCGAGTCAGTCACATTCTGAGGTCCTCGGGGCTAGTAATCCAACATACAAATTGAGGGGCACAATTCACCAGTAGCAACCCCCAGGCCCACCCCAGCATCTGAGTTCCTTCAGCAGTGCCACCCCCAGCATTGGGGCATAGCCCAGAGAAGCTGCAACTCCAGACCCGGTCTCCTCTGGATTTGAATCCTGCCTTGGCCACAGTCAGGGGTTCTTAGGCAAGCTGCCCCAGTTCCCATGTCCACAGGGACAGCAGGAGCCGCCCTGTGACAGTTCCTCAGTTGGCAGTGCCATGCCGTCTGTTTCTGCCTACTTGCCCCTCCTCATGGGTTCGAGCGTCTCAGGCTCCACGCACCACGTGGACAGTCATCCTGCGACTGGACTAGAGTTTACCTCTGCAGGGAGCATTCCTATTTGAGGTAGATTGTCTAAAAAGCTACTGGGTGTGAGATTTCACAGTATCTATTTCTGACAATTTAATATGTTTAGGAAGCCAGAAAATCTCCAATCAACCATTATGAACTAAGTTCTTTAGAAATTGTGCTTTGAGATGTGATAATTGGTAAGAGTAGCAATTTCCTTCTGTGTGAAGCTGTTGCCCCCAACACTGCTCCTCTGAACAAAGGGACCCCCTAGGCAGTAAAGAGCGGTGCAGTGGGCCGTCTAGCCGACTCCTTCTGCCAGTTGGGTGAAACATCCTTGGCTCCTACTTGCAGGACCTCTCAGAGCCTTCAGTGTGCAAGAGCATCTTGGCCTGGACACTGTTTGGTTCCTCTGCAAGTGACAGAAGGCCCCGAGGGCAAGGACTTCCTTTGTTAGAGAAGTGCATTTCTCTGGTCACAGTCCAGAGGCCTGCAGGACAAGGCCGACAGGCAGCTCCACCACAGCAGAAACCTGACACCTCTCTATCTGGCCATCTCTCCCTCCAACAGCTATCCTACCAGTGATGGGGGAGGGGGGGCGTTGAGACCAGCTGCAGGGCCTCCACCACACAGGACAGGATCAAGGACAGGAGCCCCCTTCTCTGTGGACACTTCCTGAAGTCACAGGTGTCACTCAGGATCCCACTGGCTGACCCAGATGCCAGCCCCCGGGGGTCTCTGCATGAGTATGAAGGAGAGCCCCCGGCTTGGTGCAGCTTGCCACGGCTGCCCTCCTGCAGGTGGCCCCAGGGGCAGCTCTGGGTCAGGGACCTGCGGGGCCAGCAGAGCTCAGGTCTGGCTTCCTGCGCTTCCCAGACCCACTTCCAGACTTGGCACAGGTGCCGCCAGCACTTCCACCTGAACTCAGGACATGCCCTCGGCTGCAAGAAGCTGGGAGCCAGCCTAACTCAGGAGCTGGTTCCAAGCTCTGCTGGCAGCCTGCCCACCAGCCCCGGACGTCCTTCCTGATGCAACCCCAAGCGAGGGAGGTGGCTAAGGACTAATATCCCCAGGGAAGGCCAGGGGTCTCCTCAGGTCCAGCCTGGGGTGACCACACAGCAGGCAGATGTTGCCCTCCCTCTGAGCTGGGGTGGTGGGTAGACCCTGGTCCCGGTAGGGAGGACTGTCCCTAGGTTGGGAGTGCCTCACCTCTTGGTTCACATCCTGGGGGGAGAGTCACCCCGACCTCAGTCTGGGTGGCACTCATTCCCCTCTCCCCAAAGACCCTGGCCACCAAGACGACATGGACAACGTCTCTGTAGGAAGGGACCACACGTAGAGGTGGCACTATTGTGTCCACTGCTGATGGCAGAGCTGGCTTTCACCCCTCCTGGTGACCCCACCACAGGTTAGGTGTCCCCTGACCATCCAGTCTGCCCCAGGGCCTCCCCAAGGGTCCATTATTGCAAAGTGGGCCACAGATGGAGTGTGGACACGCTTCCTCCACATAGTCTGGACAACCATTTTGAGTCCCTTCCCCCATTCTCTGTCACAGTCCAATGCAGCCGGGATTCCAGAAGGTTCTCAGTCTTCTAGGAGCCATGTCTGCTGGAGGGGAACCAGCAGCTGGGGAAACGCTGGAAAGACTCCTGCTCCACAGCTCTCCCAGGCTGCCGACTGCCGCCGTGGCTTGAGGCGCCTTTGCAAAGCTTCACTGCCTGGGAGGCTGCCTGACACCTGTCCTCAAGGACACGCGAGTCCAAAGCGAGCTGCTGCTTATCCACCACATGCATGAGGACCAGGAGGAGGAAGGAGACCCCCAGCAGTGAGAGCACCCACACCACGCACGCCCTGGGAGGCATCCCCCAGTGCTGTCCTCAGCCTGGCAAAGGAACGTGGGCACACCTTGGGGAAGGAAGTCTGGCCATACAAAGGGCCTAAAGCA